CTTTTCCTCCTCCTCCTCCTCTTCCTCTTCCTCCTCCTCCTCCTCTTCCTCCTCCTTCTTCTCCTCCTTCTGCAGTGTTAGGGATTGAGCCTATGGCCTCCACACAGAACTTCATCTCCAGCTCCCCTTCTTTAAAACAGTTTTCTTTTAAAAGTTTCTATTTTGAAACAAGATTTCTCAGAGTCACTAGTCTGCCCAGGCCAGGCTCAAGCATACTGCTTTGGCCTCCCAGCATTGCGGGATTACAGGCATGTGCCACTGCATCTGGGTTCTTTTTTCTTTTCTTTTTTTGCATTTTTAAACTTTATTGGTAAATTTTAGATATACCAATGCTAGTGTCAATCATAGGGAATTTGTCCCTGTACATATCTTGCTTTCTTTCCCATTCCTTGCTCTCCCTTCAAGCTCTTTCTCCCTGCTTATTTACAAAAGCTTTGTTTCCATTTTTCCTTCTATTCTCCTTTATTTTTGTCCTTTCTCCCTCTCCCATTCCTTATTCCCCTTCTCATTTGAAAATTTTGTTCCTATTTCTCAATATCTTCTATATGTTTTGGCCTTTACTTACACTGTCAGTTTCGCATACCAGAGAAACAATGCTGTTTAATCGTGTGTGTCCGATTTACTCACTTGAGTATGGGCCCAGCGTGCATCTGTTAGCTAGTAATGTCTCAAGTTTGTCCTTCTTTATGGTAGAGTACCACGCCATTGCATATTTTTAAAATCCCATACCTCTTTTTTTTCAATAAATACCCTGTTGGGTTTTATTTGTTTTGCTCCTTATATATCATTTCTAGTGTCTGATTAATCACATTTCTAAATTTTAAGGGAAATTAAACACGAGAGAAGTTAGAAATGAAAAGATCTGGGAGACATTGTAAATCTGAGTACAGACAAGTTGTTACAAATAAGAACTTCTGTCCTTCACCCAGTACAGAAGATCCAAGCACTCAAAAGAAGTTCCAGGTATAGGGATACCTAGGTAACAATCCTTAGGAAGTCTCGCTGGGACTCAGGAGGGAGGCCTCCATTTCCACACCTTCTTTATCCAGTCAGTACTTCTGCTCGGATTATGAGACTGACACAGGCTCAAGGTGGGAGTGAAGTGACCACCAGCCAGCCAAGCTAAGAGCACGGATGGGGCGGTCTATCTTTTCCGAAGCAGCTCAGGGCTGGAGGTGGGGGTATGTGCACGCCAGGTTTGGAGTGACTTCTGAAAAGAGGTAGTTTGCTCTGTGGCTGGAAGTGGCC